AAAATTTTACGAGCTCGATTTTCCCACACTGCAGCCCTAAAACCAGGGCATCATCCAACATTTCGCAGAACTTTCGATCTCGCTGCCATCTGAATTCGCGGTACGGTTGTTCACGTTTCTACTAATTTTTATGCGTGATTTCTTTTATTTTTCTTTTCATAATTTATGTGAATTTTCTATGTGGGTACTCAGAAATCACAATTTGTTTATAAATTGTTAGATAATTTAGATGAATTCGCCACAATACGGCTCCTCTAGCATTGAGGAATTTGGCCGATTTCTTGAGGGAGACCTGCATGGTTCATCGGAGTCCGAAGATGATACTGAAAAGCAAAAAGCGGGTAACTATTTTGGTGGGTTTTCAAATTACAGTACTAAAATGTGTGCACTATGTTCGCTTTGGCTTTACCATGCTAATATGTCCAGAAGCGTCGTCGAAGGAGGCGTGTACTCACCCTGGTTCCTTTCAAGATATGTGTTATGTGTGCGGGCTTCCCGTAAACGAGAAAGATTTTGGGTACGAAGACAAGGTATGTGACATGTATTCATAATTTGTTGCTATATTTTGGAAAGATAAACGTATGCTTGAAAAAGGCTTAATCGTTTCATGTATCCATTTTCTGGTAAGGAATGACTTCCTAATCTATTGGTACCTATTGCAGGGATTGATGCTTAAAAATGAGGAACTTGAGAGAGTGAAGAAATTAGGCATTAAGAAATTGCTGCACCGCAAGAAGCTTCACTTACTAGTTGATCTAGATCACACACTCCTTCATTCCGCCGATTCAGGAGAGGACTGCTTGCAGAGCCAAACAGATGGTCCCCAAGGTTTGTAATGTTTGTACTTATATGTATTTTAACATATCTAGTGTTTCAGGTTTAGTTTATACGCTCGTTGTGGTTTGTTCTTTTTCTATTTCTTTGAATGTTTTATACATGCCTGTGCACGCAAGATGAATGCAAAGCGTTGAGGCCCTCTGTTAGGTCCTTCTTAAGGGATGCCAGCTACATGTACGAGATGTACATGTACACAGATGGTGAACGATCGGATGCGCTCGAAAGGCTAATTTACTTGATCCGTCAAAGGAGCATTTCGGTGATAGGGTGATCTCACGTGACGATGGTGCCCAAAAACATCAAGAAGGCCTAGATATTGTGCTTGGACACGATAATGCAGCTGTGATCCTTGCCAATACAGAGAATGTAAGTGATTTTTTCCCGTGCGATTGTCACTTAACAGAGAAATATTTTGATTCTGTAATTGAAGGTTGTGTTCTATAGGGATGGACAAATCATTGGCAAAATTTGATACTGGTTGAAAGGTACGGGCCTGATGAAACCAAGTCCGAGGGAGCTCTCGCAACGGTTCTAGAAGCTCTCAAGGAAATTCACAGAATGTTTTTTCATGTAAGTGTGGTTTCGTGTCTCTGTAATGTTAAAGGGTTTTGAGGTTGTTTGATTTTATGTTTTCATTTTCTAATATATTGTTGGTGGAACCTCATATATAGGAACCGGAGGGCGATGTGAAAATGGTGAACCATTTGGCCTTTTCTTTTCCGGATTTCTGAAATTGCATTGACTTTTTCCTGTCATTTTATATTTAATATATATATATATGTATGTATATTGTTGTAGGTTATCAAAACATTGAAAGCCGAGGTGTTGAAGGGGCAACACCAGATCGTCTTCAAAGAGTTTTTTACTTCAGAAGTTCCCCAGGCTTGGAAGGTGACAGAAAATCTGGGATCGTGCTATGGTGTACGGGGGAGATCAGTACGTTTCGTGGTCGATCTTTTCAGCCTACTGACAAGATCGTCTGCAGATGAAGATATCAGAAGCGTTATCTCCTGGGGAGGAGATAACGCTTCGTTCATTATTCATAACTTCCCCAACTTGCACAAGCTTGTGCAAAAGTTGCATGGACGAAATCGAACTCAATGGCTGAAGGATTTGAATGACTATGTAAGTTCTCATTTAAGAAGTATTTTAATTCTTCAGGAAAAAAAATGTTTCTTACGTTTGTTATTTGTCCATAGGGGTTTTACCGGGAGCAGAAAAGAACTTTTAGGCACAGACAAGGGCTACTCCAAAGGGAGCGGCCGGATTTGATTCCAGAGATTCGTTACTGCGGTCAGCCAGGGAAGAAGAGGGTGACGGCATAGAGGTCGAATTGTTTGAGTTTCGGTATCTGTTTGATGTTTCTAGGTTGGTTCAGGTTCCGTATAAAACTATTGTTCTGTAATTTCATGCTAGCCTCGGTGCACTCTCCGGATCAGTTGCTTAGACAGTCTCTGATTAGCCACATGACACGTGGGGATACCTTTTTTGCTGTACATAATCTGAATATCAATCACTACTACAAACCTGCTTTTACACATAATTGCCATCCTTTTCAGTATCTGGTTAACTGTTAATTTTGATTTTGTTTTGAGAGAATGAATTATTTTTATTACAAACTATTTTTTTCCTTCATATTTTCACTATTTTTCTCATTAATACCCTTAAAAAGTTGACTTCAAATTTGAGTCACCTTCTCTCTAATACCATTAAAATTTTGAAACTCTCACTTACACAAGGCAAAATTCTTTATCTAATTTGGTGAAAATGTATTATGTATATATTCCTTACCTAAAGTCAAAATCAAATTTATTATGTATATATTCCTTATTTTGTCATATTTATTCTTCTTCTTATTATTATTTAATTTCAGAATTATTAGTTGTTGGTAGCATAAAGTTGTTGACACCATAAAACTAACATATCCATAATATACGCAAAAAATATAATTAGGAGTATCTTTGGTATCCAAAAACTATAACATGTGAGAAGTTAATTATAATTAATTAATTTGCTTATGTGGGTGGAGCATAATGGGAAAAGACTCGGTGCATATGAGAATGCTTTGATGATGAGAACGCATCAACACAAGCACAAAATGAGTGTAGCGAATATGAGAATGTTTCAATGGATGCGTGGGCAACGGGAAATGACAAGATTGGAACGAGGATATTCAAGATAAAGTAGGAGTAGCCTCAATTGAAGATAAGATGAGAGAAAATCAGTTAAGGTGGTTTGGATGTGTAAATAGCAGACCTACGAATGCTCTAGTTAGAAGGTGTCTTTATGAGAGAGGTTCAGGGCATAAGGGTAGAGTAATTGGAGTTTCCATGATTCATACAGCCGACCATACATAGGTGAAAAATGCTTTATCATTGTTATTAGCCGGTGGAGCATAATAACTGAGTTTTAGTCCAAGTAAAATACCGTTGCATATATTTTTTAAGATTAAGTATCTAAACCCCCCCCCCCCCCAACAAAAAAAAAGACCTTTTAATGTCATTCCAAATAGGTCTCAAAATTTTTTGAACATTTCAAACAAGTATCCAATATATTGAAAAATGTGACATCCATTAAGCTCAGTTAAATTTCTTTTGGTAGCTTGAGTTTACTTTATCTGCAAAAATAATAGAAGGTCATGGAAGTTTACCCTCTACCAACTAACGGTCACCACCACTCCCATCAGGTCATCACCTCCAAACCCAGCGCACAACCACCAACTTCACCTACAATTCAAGCCATCGACATTGAGGAGAAGGTCATGGAGAGTGCTAAAATGATATGTACTTTCATGATGTGGCCACCACCATCTTCACCCTCTCTCCCCACAAAAGAAGAATTGAAAGCTTTACGAGCCAAAAATCGACAAATGAGGAAATTACATGAGCAGAAAGAAATCACATTGAAACCGAATTTGAATTCTTAACCCTCTGTTGCCACATTTATATTTAACAGAAAAATTAACTGGGCTTAATGGATGTGACATTTTCAATAAGTTTAGGTTGGGTACTTGTTTGGAATGTATGAGACCAATTTGGAATGACACTAAAAAGTTTGGAGAGTTTTAGATACTTAATCTTTTTTTAAAAAGATTTAATTTTAGATTTCTTGCGTTTCAAATGAATGTTGTTATTTAATACGATGGTTGAGTGATATTCCTCTTTATTTGTAAATAAAAGATCTTTAGTTCGATTATCGCTAAAAAAAATTTTAAACGATATTATTAGTAATTACCCCCCCCCCCCCAACAAAAAAAAAGACCTTTTAATGTCATTCCAAATAGGTCTCAAAATTTTTTGAACATTTCAAACAAGTATCCAATATATTGAAAAATGTGACATCCATTAAGCTCAGTTAAATTTCTTTTGGTAGCTTGAGTTTACTTTATCTGCAAAAATAATAGAAGGTCATGGAAGTTTACCCTCTACCAACTAACGGTCACCACCACTCCCATCAGGTCATCACCTCCAAACCCAGCGCACAACCACCAACTTCACCTACAATTCAAGCCATCGACATTGAGGAGAAGGTCATGGAGAGTGCTAAAATGATATGTACTTTCATGATGTGGCCACCACCATCTTCACCCTCTCTCCCCACAAAAGAAGAATTGAAAGCTTTACGAGCCAAAAATCGACAAATGAGGAAATTACATGAGCAGAAAGAAATCACATTGAAACCGAATTTGAATTCTTAACCCTCTGTTGCCACATTTATATTTAACAGAAAAATTAACTGGGCTTAATGGATGTGACATTTTCAATAAGTTTAGGTTGGGTACTTGTTTGGAATGTATGAGACCAATTTGGAATGACACTAAAAAGTTTGGAGAGTTTTAGATACTTAATCTTTTTTTAAAAAGATTTAATTTTAGATTTCTTGCGTTTCAAATGAATGTTGTTATTTAATACGATGGTTGAGTGATATTCCTCTTTATTTGTAAATAAAAGATCTTTAGTTCGATTATCGCTAAAAAAAATTTTAAACGATATTATTAGTAATTACCCCCCCCCCCCCCCCGCGCCGGTGCGCCCCCTCCTCCTCTCTCTCTTCTTCCTCCTCCAATATAAATATTATCGTTCGGTGAAAAAAACGTGGAAAGTTAACACAAGGAAAATTACCAAAAAACTGCCAACTGATAATGGTTTCAACACGTGGAAGCTAATGGCGAGCTTAAAAAATTAAGGGTAAAATTTGAAAAACCAATGGCACAATCCTCGGCGCTCACCCAATCCCGTCGGTGACCAAACCGAAGCACGGCTCTGCTGGCGTTTTCCGACGATCCTTATCCTTCTCGCCGCCGGCTAAGGGTTTCATTTCTCCTAGCGGCCACCACCGCCACGGCTTCCGCTTCCAAGAGACTGAGCCAGGTAGGGAAATTGGATTTGCGATTCATTTCATTTCCGAGTCAGATTCAGCGGTGGGTGGCTAAACTCAATGCCTGATATCTAAATTTTGGTTTTTTGCTTTGCTTTTTTAGGTATAGCAACAAATCCCTCTCTCTGGTGCTTGAGATTCATGGGTGCTTAAGATTCATACATTAATCTTATTTGTTTTTATGAATTGAATTGAACCGAATTGAATTGAATTGAATTGAATTGAATTGAATTGAATTGAATTGAATTGAATTGAATTGAATTGATTTGATTTGATTTGATTTGATTAAAAAGCACCAGACTTGTTATTTATTCAAGAGTTTTTGTGTGCTTTTTGAATTTCTTTCACCGACAAACAAATAAAGCCTCTCGCTTTCGTGGTGATGTTAGATTCTGATCTAAGTTTTTATAAAGGGTGGCTTAATTCAAGTAAGAATTTTTCAATAAGTTACCATGACAGACTGAAAGACAGACAGACCTGCTCGAGCAATTACTCAAATTGTGTTTTGTTCTGTCATTATTATTAACTAGGATGATGCTATGCGTCATTTCCAGTGCAGTTGTCAGTTGGTGATTCCAAATCCTCATTCAAACAACATCATCCTAGTTACTGAATGAATGCATGCATGCTGGCTTACATTTGCCGGTGTGGTGCAGTGGGTATTCTGTTTTAGCTTCGCATGTACACATACGCGTATGCGCGCGCGCACACACACACACACATTATCAACATGCTACATAAATCTGGTGCACTTGTTTTTCATGTTTGACATGTACATATATGAAGAATTCATTAAAAAGCAACAATCTTTGAGGCAATATTTTCCTTGACGTGTGTCTTTTATTTAGATGGATTGGAGGGGCTCTAGTTTTAGTTTTACCTTTTTCCCTGCTGTTTCTTTCTATTTGTCTTTGCTAATTCTTAACAAACATAATATTTCATTTCATAGTGCAATTGGAAACCAGATGTCCCAGTTCCTAGGTTCGAAGATAAATAAGAGCTCTTGCCTTTTGATCCTGTTTACGAGCACCTAAGTTCAAAATCAGAGGTTTCCTGATCTAATTCTGCCCACGTTGTCAGGTAAATTCCTTCTCAGTCTTTTATGGATCAGAACATTTTAGGTTTCATCCTTTCCTTCCGGTGCCCTTTTTCTTCTGTCTTGTCTTATGTTTAACATGTTTCATTTTTGGGGCAGTTGAAAGTACATAAGGCCTCTTGCTTTTTCCTTTGGATGCTATTTATAAACCCACCAGTCTCGAAATCAGCAATTTCCTGATCTAGTGCTACCCTCTTTGTCGGGTAAAAATTATATCCATCTCTCAGTCGTTCATACTTCGTAGATGCAGAAAACCAAGGTTTTTGGCTTTTATCTTTTCCGGTGCTTTTTCTCCCATCTATTGTATTTTCTCTGCTCATTACTAAAATGTTTCATTTCCCCCATTGCAGGTTGTAATATATAGGGACTCTTGCTTTTGCTTTTGATGCTATTTATGAACACACCAGTGTCAAAGTCAGCAGTTTCCTGATCTAGTGCTACTCTCTTTGTCAGGTAAAAATAATATCATCTCTCATTCGTTTGTAGATGCAGAAAATCATGGTTTTTGGCTTTTATCTTTTCCGGTGCTATTTCTCTACCGTCTTGTCTCTGCTTATTACCAAAATGTTTCATCCCCCCCCCCCCCCGGTTGTACGTTGTAACTTTTTCCTTTTTTGATGCTATTTATGAACACGTCAGTGTCTAAGTCAGCGATGTCCTGATCTAGTGCTACTCTCTTTGTCTGGTTAAAATAAAATCCATCTCTCAGCCGTCTGTAGATGCAGAAAACCATCGTTTTTGGCCTTTATCTTTTCCGGTGCTATTTCTCTACTGTCTTGTTCTGCTTATTACTAAAATGTTTCATTCCCCCGTTGCAGGTTGTAATATATAGGGACTCTTTCTTTTTCCCTTTTGATGCTATTTATGAACACGCCAGTATCAAAATCAGCAATTTCCTAAACTAGTGCTGCTCTCTTTATAAGGTAAAAGTTATATCCATCTCTCAGTTGTTTGTAGATGCAGAACTCCATGGTTTTTGGCTTTTATTTTTTCCGGAGCTAATTCTTTAGTGTCTTGTTTCTCTTATTACTAAAATGTTTCATTTCGCCTGTTGCAGGTTGTAAATATAGGGGCTCTTGCTTTTGCCTTTGATGCTATTTATGAAGCACATGTGTCAAGATCAGCGGTTTCCTGATCTAGTGCTACCCTCATTGTCAGGTAAAAATAAAATCCATCTCCGAGTCTTTTGTAGATGCAATTATACAAGGTTTTTGGGTTTGATCTTTTCCGGTGCTATTTCTCGTGTCTTGTCTCTGCTTATTATTTATTACTAACAAATAAAGTGATATGTGGGTTAAAAAGTTAATAATTTAAAAAATAAAATTTACCATTACTTATATAGAAACACGTAGTGTATCACTCGTGTTCCGATCAAAATGAAATATTTCTCGTGGTTTAGGTCTTAGGTTTTGGGCAACTATAAGCCATGAAAATTAACCTAAATCAAGGAAAACACGAATCAAAACCAATATAATAAGTTTTGATATAATGGCATAAAACGTAATTTTTGGTTTATTTGAGAGCATTAGTGTACTTTAAAGATCAATTTATCTTATCTAAGCCCTAAAATCTAAAAATCCCTTATTAATTATCTGTCGGTTCCTATATATTTTCGTTAGGGTTAGGATTGCTAATCCTAGAAGGATTAGGACTATTACTTTTCCCAGCTCCTACATATTTTCGTTAGGGTTAGGATTGCTAATCCTAGAAGGATTAGGACTATTACTTTTCCCAGCTCCTATATATTTTCGTTAGGGTTAGGGTTGCTAATCCTAGAAGGATTAGGACTACCACTTTTCCTATTCCTATTCCTATTCCTACGAGGTTAAGGAATATTGATGGTGTATTGTGTGCCTATAAAATAGCATGCCCTGTGGCTGTGATTCAATTGCGGTAACCAGCCCTGCTTGTATTTCTCTCGCGATCGCATCCTAATTTTGAAGTCTCTCAGTTCGATTCCCTTTTCCCTTTTCAGAATAAAAAGTTGTAATTAAATCAGATTCATGCCGGTCGCCATGAAAAGACCCCGCGGTAGCAGTACAATAACCCAGTCATCCCCAGTAGCACCACCACCACCACCTCCACCGGCTTTGGCCTCTAATGATCATGTTCATCACTCTAAAAGACAAAAAATATTCTCAACACCAGCAGCAACCAGGTCATCATCAAAAAATCTTGATCATCTGCCAGAGTCTTTATTGGTTGAAATCCTTTGTCGACTCCCTTGTTTTAAGTCCGTTTCTCAATGCAAGCTCGTTTCCAGGCATTGGTGCACTCTCCTGTCAGATCATCATTTTATCCGCCGTTTTCTATGCGTCCAAAGGAGTCTTGAGAACAAACCAATAGGTACTGCCATAAGCATGAAAGGGGAGGAATTCCTTAATGGAGTTTCGCCATCCTCTAGGCCCCTAGCTCAGTTGTTCAATAGGCTTATGAGTATCCACGGTTTGAAACAAGAGCCAATTGTGGTAGGTGCCTACAACGACTTAGTTTTGTGCTGCGCAAGCGAGTATAGTCAGCGCGACTACTACATCTGCAATCCACATACAGTCCAGTGGGTTCCTCTTCCTCCCCCACCTCAAGTCTACAATTATGTAACGGTGGGGTTCACCTGCGATCTTCCCTACTATGACTATAAGAAAGATGATCAGCAAGGGGACATCATCCAGCTTAATGCGGAGTATAAGTACAGGGTTGTGAGATTAATTGATCCTCGTGTTGATGACGATGACGATGATGATTTACTTTCCTGCGAAATCGAAGCGCAGGTCTTCTTTTCTGAGACCGGTGAATGGAGGGAGTTTGTTTTATCATCCCCATCAGCCTTTGCAGTAGGAGAACTGTGTAGAGAGAGTACTGGCGTTGCTTCCAACAGAATGCTGTATTGGCTAGGCGGTGGAGGAGATTATCTTATTGGGTTGGATCCGTTCATGATCGACAACAGTGATAGTACTAGAACTCATTATAAATGCTTTTTCAGTGAGTGTGGCGAGTGGGATTCCGGTTCAATGGATTGCCTAGTTACGTTTGACGGGCGTCCGCGGATGTGCGTGTACTACTCTTCTACTCGCACTCTGTCTATTTGGGAGGTCAATGAAGCAAAGGAAGGTGATCAGACGGTCATGATCCACGGGGGAGCAGGCAGTTTGTGTGTGAAACCTTATAACAGCGTATACTTGGGGGATGAAGAAATGGTTGTGATTAGTCCAAATATAGATCATATTGTTGCGGTTGTTTTCGACCCGAATAACGAGGATTTGGTGTATCTGGTTATAGATAATACCAGAGACTGGAGCAAGAGAGACGTTATCAGGTGCAATACTCGTACAAGAGAGATGTCAAAGGTGTCTACAAATCCGACAATCTGTTGTTGGCACCTCTTTCCATTTGTGCTTCCGTGGTGGCCGACTCCAGTCCGTCAACTACCACAACGTGGCGAGCCCAGGCCAGACCTCTCAGCCTGATTTGATAAAATAAAGAGATGAATGTTTGTATCATGTTTCTATCCAAGACTGATGAATAATAGGGTGGGATGTCTTCTATGTTTAGCTTTGCTCACGGTATGTTACCTGTTTGCTATCATTCTGTATAATTTAGTGTTTTTGGTTAAGTATGTGTACGTGTGGATAAAGTTTTAAGAGTTTTCGGCACCTCTCAATTTCTTTTCAAGTTGGATGATCGGAAATGTTCCCTTCGCATTATGTAGGCCGAGCATTCTTTTAGTGGAACATCTAGCTAGGTTCAACTCTCACGACCTTGGAAGATTGCGCACGGATATGTATTCACAAATATTATAGTGCACTGACAAAAACAAGTAAACAAATTATTTGTATTGCACTCACAAATATTACAACACAAAAACTCTCAAAGACGCAATATTAAAGACAATTTTAAAATGTACGACACTCTCTTATTTTCTAGAGACAAACTCTAGATGACTCACTACCATCACTTCTTGCTTCTCACTTCTTGGTTATTTGCTTGCTTGCTTATTTGATACAAATGGGTTGGATGCTTTCTCCTTTTATAGGGCCTAGTTGGAACTTTGGAGAAGCATGGGAACATCATGCTAGATTATTTCACTAACTTCCTTTGCTAAAGTTGTTTAGAATTAATTGCACTAATCTTGCATGTTGGTACGTAGAAACCTCACCATTCTTCTAGACTTTTTCTAGCCCAAGTGCTAATTAATTTTCATGTTCTGAGCCCTTATTCTTTGGGCTGGTGTTGATCTTTCAACGTGGTAGTCATCCCTCAAACGTAAATCATTAGTTTTTTCGTTCTTCGGTTCTTCCATTGAATAAAGGAAAATGTGAGCATTCTTTTTGTTAGTATTTGTTTTGGGTATACATGTTAGGACTGAACCAGCTACAGATGTCTATGTTTTTAATAGCCTTTTTTTCCCCCCTTGAAAATACACACATGAATAAAGCCTTGGAAGTATAAATTGGTTTCTTAGAGCTATCTAGTGCTCTATTAAACATGAATGAATATATTGCGTCAAATTAAAATCATGTCATATTAGAATCTTAGGTTACCAACTGATGCCACCACATGCTAAGCCTCTTTTTATAATGCATGATGCTCAATCCCGTGTTGAATGCTAAGAATCCCAAACTAAATTGAACTATTTTGCTTGCTTCGATATAGTTTGAGTCACATTTATCTCGTACAAGAAAAGTGTCAAGATAATTCATTATTAAAAGATAATTATCATGACTAAAAATCATAATATTATCCTCTAATAACAACAAAATTATTGTAACTTTCTTATCCGACGATTAAGAATCATTCTTACTCAACGGCCTCGATCGCTTGGGCCGATGATGTAAAATCAAGTCCAAACAATTATATGGGCCGATAGCGTAAATTTGGATCCAAACAATATGTAAAATTAACACAAATCATGTTCTCTATCGGACAAAACTTAGATCAATGCTATTGACTATAGTGTGGTTTATATAGCGGTGTTTTAATTAATTAAAAAATAATAAACAATAATCCATGGAGTATTTTTATCCTTAAATTGAATAAATCAAAAGAAATTTAAGTGAGAAAAATAAACAGGAGCGCGCTGAAATCATTTCCATTGCAGTATGCATGCATTAGATTTAGTTAAGATGTTAGTCAACTTACCAGTGGAATTGCAGGGTAGAGCCTCTGTGTCTTAGTCAAAGCTGCTAAGAGATATTGCATTTTATTAAGGGCATCTTCATTAAGACTGTCTGTAAGTTCAACAATGCTTGAATCATCTTTCAGATTTGGTGCTTCTCGAACTTCCGTTGCAACCTTTCTTGCATATGAGGGCGCTTGCACAGCATATAAATAACCCACGTAAGAGTGCACGCCGTTGTGTCTTTGTCGGCAATTATTTTAATTATTGAAATGGTATAAGGATTTAAAAAATATTAAAATATGGAAATGTACAATGAATGTACCTATAATGGTGTTTAATTGTCAAAAAATATGTAGACAGATAAAAAATGGGTAATGGTTTAAAAAAAAAAAAAAAAAAAAAAAAAAAAAACCAATAGGTACTGCCATAAGCATGAATGGGGAGGAATTCCTTAATAGAGTTTCGCCATCCTCTAGGCCCCTTGCTCAGTTGTTCAAAAGGCTTGCGAGTATCCATGGTTTGAAACAATAGCCAACTGTGGAAGGTGCCTACAACGACGGCTTTGTGCTGCACAAGCGAGTATAGTCAGGGGTGTAGAACTTTGAATATGGATTGTTCCAATTTCTTTTTTAGTTGTTTCTCATATTGATATGCTCATGGACAAACCTTGAAAAATATTCCCTTTCGGGATGCTGCAAAAAATCATGGGCCTTCAAGCAGCAAAGTGCACAAATTGTAGGTTTAAATCCAGAAAAACCCCATTCTGCAGATTTGCCCCATAAAGGCGGTCCTCGGGGTTGTATATTGAATTCAGGAGGAGGTACAAATTCCATTGTTGCACAAATTGTAACCTAAAAAGAAAAAAATAAAATCTAGTAAATAAAAAGATATATACAAAAATAATTAACTAAGAATATGATAAACACAAATTATTTAAAACAATCCCCAGTAGCAGCATTAATTTCTTGATAGGTATTTTTATAACATGCCAAAGTAAGGATAATAACACTTTAAATACTTGTAAGAGTACAAGGTAATTGTA